GGGCAGAGTTTCCTTTTCAGCAAGAGACTTGCACTGGCAAGGAGAAGTCGAGGTGTTGTTTCGCAAACTGAGATGACTACCGTGTGAGTTATTTCCTGTAGCTAAGGTTTCACTGCCCACAAGCCACTTCTTTTCCCTTCGAGTCCAGCATCCCTTCTCTCCCCAGCCAAGCCAGCCTAATACATGTGCGCAGGTTTAATACTGGAAAGAAGGGTCAGCCTTACCCGGACATAATCACTGTTTTATGGCTTTCACTCATTCCTGAGGTGTTAATGCAGATCAAATGGGAAACACTCGGGAAAGAGCCCTCGCAGCTACCGCACTGCCTAGCTCCCCTCCGCTCAATCGTTAATTCTTATTGTAAGATCTGAAGGTAATTTTGTTTGCTCTCTTAATGCGTTGCAGTTCTCCCAGTGGCCCTTGCATATCCTTTCTCAAATTCCCATCTTGATCAATTGTTTGCAAATAATTAAGCTTTTAAGAGATAATGGCATGGGGCTAATGTGCACAACAAAGGCGAGGTCTCCCGTCACTGTCTATTGGAGTGGTCAAATTTGCTTTGATATCCCAACATGCTCAGGTCGACTGCTGTATCTGGCAAGTGCCATCGGTCTTTCCTTCACAAGAACCTACTGATTTCTCTTCAGTGAGTGTCCTTGCCATTTAGGTGGAATAATAGCAAAGGTGTTCAAGCGAATGGCAAGGGGTGACCTAACCCCTTACTTGCAATGGTTTGGAGTGGAGTTTCCATTTTCTTCCTAAAATGGCACTTTTTCTTGATCTCTTTTGTAAAATGATGTCTTCCTTGGCCCATCTCCTGGCCTCACTAGCCCCGGGCAGAATGCAACAGGGCTTTGGATGTTTTTACAGCAGCCTTGCCCACGGCAGGTTGGGTTTTTGTCAAGTCACTTTTTTTTCAAAGTCTACAAAGGAATATCTCCTACTGTTCACAAAAAGCTTATCTAGTATAGATACGTAGGGTTTAAGATATTTAAACATATTGGATTTCAATGAAAAAGCCGACTTCTTTGTGAATTTTTGTCTGACTGTGGATTAGGTACCTGAAGTCATGGCTTTCGTGTAATACTAGTAAGTACAGATTTTGCCCCCCCCCCCCAGGGAATTGAAGGTGTGTGGGCACCAAGGCCAAGAACTATGAGAAAGAAAAAACCATGCAGTTGATCTACCATAGACGAGGGTATAGGAATTTTGTTGATACCCTTTTTTCCCCTCTTAACAAAGACCAGATTATTGGGATGTTTAATTTTATCCAAGCTTATTCATTTCATATATATATATATATATATATGCATATATATATCCAGATATACATCCATGTATATTCATATATACACATATGTATCTATACACACACACACCCACACCCACACCCACATTTATCTCTCTCTGTCTTCTGAACAACTGAAAATTATTCAATAGAGACAGAGTGTTGGGTCTCTGTAGCTTGAGGCTGCCTCGCAATTATACTGCATGAAATTAGACACAGTTTGTTCCAATTACTTAAAATCAGATCACATGAAAAGTGACAGAGGGAAAAAAGGGCAGAACTTTCTCATTTTATGATATTAAATTATGAAATCAGAAACTGCATGATGCGAAAAACAACCTAAATTTGCACTGAAACTTTGAGGGCCACATGATTGCTCTTTGACGCTGTAGTGATTCAGGTAATTTTAATGATCCAAAGAGAATTTTTCTGACACCACTTGCATAAATAAAATGTGAATTCCATTTGCTTTAGGTAATACTGGGTCTAAAACTTGCTCACAAACAGGCATGCAGAAATACTCTTGAAAACACAGAACCAATAAATGACTGTGACAATTCTCAATTTTCAAAATAACTAAAGGTAAATGGCATAAATATTCATTTTCATCCAGTTCTGGTCATAATATTAAGACACAACTTATGAGACAGAGGAAAGGAACCGCCATCCAGCTATAGTGAAGAGAGACTGTTGACATATTTATTACAAAAATTCTATGGAAAAATCACTGAACAAGATTTTCATAGGACCTGCCAAACTGCATGCATGTTATAGAAAATGTTGTTGGTTGGAAATGACTTGTGCGTATTGATCTACAACTTTATATGGCAAATCCTCACCTAATGTCTCAGTAGGTTCTTAGCCTTTAATCAGGAAAAAACATGCTGAAACCAGCTTTACTATAGGCCAATGACATAAACAAGAATCAAGTTCCTACAGCATCTCATTAGTGTTGTGACAAAACAATGTTAGACCAAACGATTTTCTTCAGGGATCTCCCAACAACTAATACGCTAATATGTCCCTATGTCAAAATCAGGCTTATATTCTGTAAGAATTGCTAGCCTGGGTAACCTTCAACTTTGATGGCTCTTAGAACCCCAGATTACACAATTGAGGATTAGAAAAGTTGTTCCTTGTTCAGAATCTTATAGTCAGTGAGGGGCAGCATAACACACAATAGCACAGGGTCGTGTGTGCCTGAGTACAATTCTTCGAGTAGCATCAGCATAGAATTGCGAGATATCCACCTTAATTCTATTCATAGGGTGAAAGATGCATTTGGTTTGTACTGAGTGGCAAGCCTTCAGGCGGTGGGAGTAGTGTGTTAAACCTGAGGGTGGTGGATTGCTCTCAGCTCAGTGTCCAATCGTGCGGTTTTGCCTGTGATGACTGGCATTATGGGAGTAGGGAGTAGGGAGTAGGGCAGTAGGGAGATTGTCACATGATCTTAGACGATTATGGGGCATATAGACTTCTATTGGAAAAGAATGGGTCAACGTCACTTTAAGGAATGACATAAGGAAAGTAGTGTTGTGAATCTTAAATTGGATTGTTTATTCCTTTTATGGGCTTTGAAAAATTTTTATTGTTCGTTTTGATGTTCGCATCTGAGCAGCTATTCTTTTATTTCACAAATACTTACTGATTCTCTGTCCAGCTAGTCTGGGATTTGAGAATGCTAACCAAAAAAGGCAGAGGCTTTGGGGTGGCTAAGTGAGTGGTAAGAGACATAGCAAAAAGGGAACAAGTAGCCAGAAGGAGTGTTGCAGAGAGCGATGCTCACTGTGAGGGAAAGAAGAAAAGGCTGATGGGAGAATGATAAGGTGGACTTTTGAACAGTGGAGTGGGGAGGGCTTGGCATTTGTGCTGAGATGTGAATGTGACATGGGAGCCGGAGCCTGCGTGATAGGGACAAGCTTGGCATGTTGGAAGGACAGAAAGGAGGACTGTGTAGCTGGGTGGAAGGCGGGTGGGGGGGAGCCTGAGGAGAAGGCTGCGGAGCCCGAGACGTAGGCAGGGCTGGGTCCGGCAGGCCCTGAAAGCCCCGGTGAGCAGTGGGGAGGTTTTTGGGCGGGGGCCCCGGGTAGAGGGAGTAGAGGTCGTGAAGGGTGTTTGCCACATCCCTCTTTGCCCGTGAGGCTTAGTTAGATGCGGGAAGAGAAACAGGAAATATCACCAAGTCATGGGCTGCTGACCATTCCTTCCCCTGGTCGGTTTCCTCACCTGTAAAACACACAGGACAATGGAGTCTCTTTATGTCCCTCAGAGGAATAGAAGAGGGATTAATTACCATCCTGTCGGTAATATACTTGGAGCTCTTTAGAGAAAGGAACTACATTCCATGAAAGCAGAGCCTTATTCTAATTGTGTATTTATTGATTAAGTGACAATCAAAGACAATGCTTATGGGAAAAATTGCTACGTCTCTGTTCTTTGAAAACAACTCCCATGTGTATAGATATAGAACATGTTTAAACTCACATATAAGAGCATTAAAGTGGTCACTGATGTGCCTTCTTAGCATCTAATCAGACTTTATTAATGAGATTAAATCTATGTTAATTAGCATTCGATAGACAGGAATTCAGCTTCCAGTGGCACAGAGAGTTAAAAGAGAGTTAGTGGTGCCCTTTCCCACTCGTCGGAGAACAGACCATTGGCTCTCAGGACAGTTTTTATCTTGGGAGAATTCACTGGGACGCAGGGCAGGGTTTCATACCAGGCAGCGTCTCTGTAAATGGAAACCGTGTTCTCGGCTCCGCACCCAGGCTTTCGTTATGTGTGTGTCTGATTTAGACACAGTTGGTTATTGAACGAAAAGTATTTGTGCCAAAACTGATTTCAGTAGAACTCCAGACATTCTGAAAAAAAAATATGGATTTCATTCTATCGTCTAATCCTGGAGTACTTTTCTGTCCTGTTTTATGAGGAACATAGCTGGGCTTGTTCATAACGTGCAAACATGCTGGTCTTTGACCCCGTGCTGGCCCGTGTTCAGAATCTCAGCGTGTGTTGGCATTCGGACATGGACATAAACTTTGGTTGAGTTTCATTTGTTCGTGTCTTTTGGGAGAGCTCAAATGAACAGTGGTGAAAAAAGGAATCTGCTTTAATTTTGATATTTGCATCCAGCAATATAGTATCTGGAGGGAGAATGAGTGCTTTTAACTGCTGGGGACCTCAGCTGAGACTCTTGGTCCACATGGTTCAGCCTTAGAAGTCTATGGTTCTAATAAAGATATCACATCAAGGCAGTATACTTTTATATAGTCAAAAGGGCTTGACCTTATTTTAGTCCTATAAAATACAGTGGAGACCATACTGAACTTTCCACATTTGCAACAAATAAACCTGTTAAAGGATAAACTCAGTATCAAGGTTCTGCAAATATCCTAAGTAGCTATTTATACACTTCACTAATCTTTGTAATTGGCTGTCTTTTACTGCCATTAATTAGATGATGTAGTATTCTATTAATAAGAGTGACACACCTCAGCATTTTTACCTTTAATTATAGACTTCACTAGACCCTTAGGTTATTGACAGATAGCCCAAATGTTGCCCGATATACACATTTCTTTTTTTTTTTAAGAGCATATCTGTTTGTTATGGAATCCTTAGCCCCTGACATGGTACCTGGCATGTGGTATGCATTCCCTTCTCTGCCAAAGCACGTGTGACTACACCTATCTTTTTTGTCCTCTTTCAGCACCCTTACCCTTCTGAAGAACAGAAAAAGCAGTTGGCACAAGACACGGGACTCACCATCCTTCAAGTGAACAACTGGTATGTAATTTGGTTTTGTCCTTATACACGATCTGCTCCCTGATGGCAACCTGAAGCGAATGTTTTGCAATAAAAAGACACACCTAGTATGGCCATTTGCCCTGGTAGCTTGTGGGTCCAAAAGGCTCTGGAGTGGCGGGTAAGAGTCTTTGCTGGTGTGGAAAAGAAAACAATGTGTGGCTTCCCCTTTCTTTATTAACTGGCAGGTTTTAGGCACAGTCTAGCTCAGAGTTTAATTCACGTTCACTATGGCTCTGTAAATGTATCCCTCTCTGTGGCTTTTCCCCCTTTAGTATAATCACTGGAAAGAGTGGATCATCCTGTTTTCGATGAAATGAGAAAATCCACCATCACCCACTGGTCAGGTTTTCAACCCATCAAACACCTACATTTGGTTAGATTTTGTTAGGGCTGTGCGTTCGAGGGCAGTCCCCCCTTTCCTCTCATCTCCCGTCTCTGGAATAGGAGAAATTGCTTGTTTCTACTTGGACGCTATTCAAACCCTCACATATCTCTGAACTGTGCGATACTGTTCCTAAATAAATGTGTACATTCCTGATTTGGGGAGAAGCCGAGATTACACACCAAGAATCAGCCAACGATGTTCTGGCGAAATGCACAGGGGTATGGCAGCAAGGCTCTGAGAAAGTGATTTATTACCCTTTGTTACCGTGCTGAGAGCCAGGCTCCTACGATCACCCAGAGCTAGTGTCCTATTTGATGGGATTCGAAACCAAATATCCACTAAAACTAAGTGTATCTAATTAATTGTCCTAATATTTTTAGATTAGTGTTTATGATGGGGAAACCTTATCCTCTTTGAAGTAAAATCCAGAAAAGGCCCAAAGCCTGGTTGGGGAAAGCAGAGAACTGGGAAGGCCAGCTTGCAGACAGAAGTATTTCTTTCTGTTCAATAAGTGTCAAAGATTAATATTACAGAATCTCTGATTACATGGCCTAATCCATTTTGGTGAATAAATTTGGTCTAGATGTCCATTGCACCTCTATTAACAGACCCTTCTCTCTGTTAAAGAGCCCGGGAGCCTTTGGGAGAGATTTCAGATATATTAAACTCCATTACAGAAAATGTAATTTCTGTCAATATAATTCCATGTATTCTTCAATTTAGTATTTGAGAGATAACAAGCTACTTACAATATATTTGCCTTTGGAGGATTAATTTACAAAGTGCACTATCTTCAGGACACAGACAGACTCACATAAGCATTGCTTGTAAGGGTTATCAATTTCTATGACCTTACTGCAGCCTTGGGAGATCCATTTTTGCAGCCCTTTTAGGTCAGTGGACAGGGAACCAGTGGAAGACACACTGTAGCTAAATGTGTTGCCAGGAGTTGCGTTGCTGCTGAGGTTCTTTGCTGGCCTATTTTTTACCTGCTATTGTGTCTGAATTTTCAAGATTGTTGGTGCTATGTAGTTGAACTGTAGTCTTTCAGATCCTTTTGGATGTTATTATAGGGTAGACCATCGACTTTGCATGCACACCTAAATTTCTATATGTTTTCAAGTTTACATTGCTGGTGAGGCAATTTTAGTACAATGGAGACTGTATAAATATCGTATTTCCCTGGAGGGCCAAGGAGTGGCAGGGGGAACTCTAACTGAAGAAGGCAAAGCTCTGCCATTCAGTTGATCTATCACACATGCCATCTCTCGTCCTTCTTGCTGTTGCTAGCAAACTTCACCCGTAAACATACGTCGTTACCAGAGAACACATTCCAATACGAGTTGCTTTCCTTCTACAGGTGGACAAACTTGCGGGATGGTTCCTGTAGATGCAGCAGCAGGCAGGCATTGCTGTGACCCCAAGCAGTACGCACTTATTATTTTCTTAGGTTCTGTGTACAGTCCGCGGTCACAGTCTCACTGCCTCCATGTTGCGATTAGAAGGGGAGGAAAATGACCCCCAAAATGTTATAATACATACCACATAGCAATTTTTCAAAGTATATGCAGACTGTACCCTAAACTCCATACTGATATTTAATTCTGCTTTGGTATGTAACTTAAAACACCACTGTTACTCAGTTACCTGGGACGTAAACATGGTTCTGTGCTCGAGTGGCGCTGTGGACGTGCACGTGTTCTCTGTGCTGGGTGGGGTTTGCAGCCACTGGGTGGGGTTTGCAGCCGCTGGCTGGCACTGCTCCGCTTCGAATTCAGCAGCCTTCTCAACTCTTAACAACTGGGCTTGTGATAGAGAGTTTCCCTCGAGTAACTCAAACTTGTAAGAGAGATTGCTTCTCTTAGGTTTGACGAATAATGACATTCCTGTGTTTGACTGGAGTTTGTGACAGTTTATTAATTTCCACCCAAACTTCCCTTGAAGGAGCTGATAATTGATCTCTTTTTCTTTGAGTAGGAAGTGTAATGCGAACCCTGGAAAACCCGGGTGGTGCTTCCACTGTGGCATCCTCCTGGAAGACTAAAAAGTAGTGTAACCACTCAAGTAAAGTGGTTTTCCTTTAACTTTATCGTAATAAAAATTATACAGAGCTTTTTCTGAGAGTGTAAACATTTTTCCTGTATTGAGCATCAAGCTTAAGTTATTTCCTTTGGGAAATAACAACTTAAAAAAAATCTTCATTCCCCTTCTCTTCATGTAGCCATCACATTTAAAGATGTGTCTTCCCTCCTGGATTTCTTAAAACTTGTTAACACACATGTACGTTTTGTACAAACTATGAGTCACTGTTGAAGAGATTTAATGAAATGCTGAAGGGCAGGTTGGGTGCAGATCAGTCACAGTTATTGGCAGCAACATGATGTATGGAAACACAATCCGAGGGAGAAAAATATAAACTCATGTCTACTTGTTAGCTTGTCATAGAAACTGCGGCCGACGCAGCTTTCGGTCAGGTTTTAACTGGAAAACGAGATGAGAAAAGTTTGGAGCATCGTGATGCTTTCATTCCATTGCTGAACTGATTTTACATTTATTTAATTGACGTGGGCGATCTATACTACCCGCCTTGGGTAGCTAGGGTCAAAGCATATAGGGTTCGGGGGAAAAAGAGATAACAGGGACAATGTAAACAACGAAGTTTAAAACAAGGCAGATTGGGTTAATTAGGAGAAAATTCGGATTCTAAGGAGTAAGCGTTAGGATCTTCACATTTGATTTACCTGCTGGAGTGAAGACAGAGAGGAGGAACCTGAGAATGGCTGGTATTAGCACTGACAGGAGTTGGAGCCCAGGGTGGAATGTGAGCCATGCTCAATGAGACCTCGCAGGACAAGTCTGTGCCAATACGCTTTTTTTGAGAGTTGAGGCAATAATGCAAGGAATTTGAGTAAAAATATTTTTATCTAAATGATCTAAGTATTTGAGGTAAATCAACTTCTGTAACTAATTGCCTAAATAGTTCAATCTAGCATGCTGTGGTAGGCTTACACTCGAAGCAGAGTAAGTTTTGAAATATAATATGTGCTATACGTTTACGTGTTTTTTCTTCCTTTGTTCCCTCACTCTCAATTATGATTTGATCCAAAAATGGTAAATAACAGCATACGGGGTTCTGTCTCTTTGCCTTTCACTGCAGTTGTGGTTGTGACAAACAATTCTGTTGCATCAGCAGTGAAAACGTATTACTTATATGCTGCGTGTTTTAATCAATTTCAATGGAAGCTTCTTAAACTCAGAGATTACATGGTTAAGTCATCAAATATTTAGGTAGAACTTTAAACACATACGCACACAAAGTCCATACTTGTTTTCTTTTCCTCCAGGTGAACTATATATTTTTTTCTATTGAAAATGTGAGTACAGAATAGAATGGTCAGATGAAAACTCCCTTGTACGTTTGCACAGCAGTGTTGCAGACCTGGAGTTCTGTGTGATGGAAACTCATGCCCGTGACTGTATCTTGTTTGCCTCCGACACATCCGCCTCAGCAGAGTTCTAGCCTAGGGTGCACTGGATACATTTTACAGCTTCTTCGTTGACTACTTCTCATCCAAACACTTTCCCATTAAGGCTAAAGTGAAATGGTCATTCCTTTACAATCTAAGAAGGCAGTATGCATTTTACATGCAAATTATATAGTACATGGGGGGGGATACAGTATGTATATGGAGAGAAAAGCCACTCTTCATCAGTCGGGTGCATAACATTCCACGGAACATCCTAACATCCGAGGTGACACTTTACAGAACTCTCTTGGTGCCATAGTTCTCAGGTTTAGTACACACACCAGATTTGCCTAGTAACTTCATTTATTGCCTCAAAACTGCAAAGCACTCAGGCATCGCTTCCCATTTATGACTAGTGGGGGAATAAAAGTATGTTATCCTTAGAGATTTATGCCACTGGCAGGTAAAACCGTAAAGTTATTTTTTTAAAAAAATAGGATCTCCCTTAATATTATAAACAGATTCAACTGGTAAAGGTCAGATTTCTTTCTGAGTTATGGTAATAATGTAGCAAATACTTTTATAAGTAATCAAAGATCCTATAAATATAGGTACCCGTGTGGATGTAAATGTTAAAACATTCACAAATTATCCTTTCAACTTCTGTGATCTAAAAATCAATAGGGGGTCACAGGGTTTCATAGAATCGCTCTGCTTTTTCTTCCAACATAATTTAATAATACATTTTACAGATGTTGTTTAAACATTAGGTACAGATTGTTTTGTCAATAAAGCTGAACAGAGGCACGACACAAAAGCCAGAAAAACAGATGTAAGAGAGTCAGGGCCCCGTGCGGGAGGCACCATTCAACGGCAAAGTGAAAGCTCGGGGTGTGTGGTGATTTTCTTTGCCCAGGAATTACCTGGGCATGGAACAACTTCACACACCAAAGGTGATTTTATTAAGCAGGTGGCTTAACTTTTTCCCTTGGGAATCTAAATGTAACCTACATTTAAGGGAGACGTCATCATTGATCAATGAAGTAACAGGTGCAGTATCCTTAAAAGAAGGAGCAGACGGAGATATAAATAGAAAAACTCTCCAGAACATCTCAGAATGGGTTGTT